TCATACCGCTATCAAGACTCTCGCATTCTTTCAAAATCGTTTTGGAACTTTTGTTTTTTTTGATGTATCATTGGACATATTGGAAGATGCCGGCAATTTTTGCATTTTCCAAAATTCTACGTGTGACTTCTGGTTCTGTTGAAATATTAAATTTATCAATATTTAAGATTAAATATATATAAAGTACACACATTTGAGGTTAGGTTTATATCCAATAAGCACAAAAATAACAAAAAAAAATTGTAAAGAATTCCAAAAAGCTTATTATGTAACAAAAGTAAAGTAAGAATTTGATTATTCTTTGAGAATACATTATTTAATAATAAAAAAGTTCTTGAAGAATTCTTAAAACAATTCTTTATTTTTGTCCTAGCTGATGTAATTCATATATTACCATTTCTGGCCTTTACAAATTAATGGGGAAGGCGACCAAGTATTATGTATCTGCAGATCAGGATTTGACTTTTTTTCTAACTTTGGTCCTATTATGGTTAATAATAGGACCAATGGAAAGTTTCTCGAGATATTCTATTAAAAATAATAAGTTTATAATTAACAAAACATTTATTTTTGAAACAATAGTATATAACGATATGGTAATAATGTACATTACTATAAATAATGAATGTTATTAATGAATATGAATATTATATTTGATAAATATGAATATTATATATAATATTTTATTAAATAATATTTTCAATAAATAACTGTACTTTTCTTATCCAAAATGTGATTTAAAGTTTGCATCTGTTAATATAGAAACTACGTTTTGAATATAATTTTGTATGCGTGGTTTTAAAAACAGTGATCCATGTTTACTATCAATCTTATTTATTAATAATTTGTAACATCATATCATCATTAGAATTATTATCACTTGAATCGTTTTCGATTATTATTCTAATAGCATTGAATAACATATGTTGATCCATATTGGTTATGTTTTGATTTTTTTATGTACACTTTTTTATTGCTTTACACTGCTTTTCCGTTCCGAAATCCAGTACTAGATAATAAATATTTAAATAAAAATTTAAATTTCGAAACGGTAAAAGTCAGTCATTTCAATAACAGACTTCCAGTTAATTTTGGAACATGGCTTATGTATACTAAAGACACTGTAGGTACGTTCCTTTATTCACTCCGAGTGCTCATGCTATGACGTAATGGAAGTGTACTGCGGCTATCGTTCTGTTTTAGTTTCGTGCGCTTTCTAATTGCTTCAAGATTATAAAGTGAAACGTAGTTGCAGTATGTTTTCTGAAGCTCCAACTGAAATAATGGCTCGCATATCTAATATTAAATATTAAAAAAAATATAATTTTATTATATATATTAAATATAATATATATATAATAATTAATAATAATAATATTAATATTAACAATAATAGTTATTATTATTATTATTATTATTATTATTATTATTATTATTATTATTAATATTATATATTAT